AAATAAGATAAGATCTTACTCAATTTTAAAAATAAAAATTTAACAAACTTTTAAGTAACTATAATTAATATTTATAAAAATTGATTAAATACATATTTTATCAAATTTTATCAGGTCTATATCTCAAAACCCACTAGTTAATTCACATCAGAAATACTAAGCAAAAATGTTTAGATCTACCCAAAACCAATCTCTAAATAAATTTGAACCTTTAAATCTGACCCTTATCTTACCTTAAAATTGTATCCTAACTATAAAGACGAGGTGGCAATGATCATCACTAGCTATTTTAGAAAAATTTTGCTAAGCTTGATTAAGTAGCTATTGAAAAATTTTTACTAAAATTTTTGAATTTGCCATTTTTTTTTTTAGAATTTACACCGCATAACTTGGTAGAAGGTCACAGATACAACAGTATGTGTAGTTTAGTTTGAAACGGGTTGATTGTAATATAGGTATGGCAAGAAGTAGTAGATTAGCGTTTAATATTATGTTATTTTCATTGAGACAATCTATTATCGTGAGATTTTTTAGTATCCGATCAGAAGTCACATCAATTTAAAAACAAATATTAGCTTTATTTATAAACTCCTTAAGTAATCAAATTATTTGTGATTTAATAAATCATTTTAGAACATAATATTTATTAATTTTTTTCATATGGAAATCACCGGTTTAAAAAGAGGAAAACAAAAAACAACAATAAAGGTGAGAATGCAAATTCATTATTTCAAATGATTTAATAAATCATTTTAGCAAAATATTTATTAGATTCCAAATCACCGGTTTAAAAAGAGGAAAACAAACAACAACAATAAAGATAAGAATGCTAAAAGATATGTAAGGCACAAATCCAGTGTCTGATTCAAGCGATTCAGGCGATCCATGCGGTCCAAGGCCATTCGCAGCTTATCCAACCCCGGTACTATATGTTGAGTAGTTTCTAACTCTTCCGAATAATCAAATTCTTTTAGTGTAGTGTTTGTAAGAAAGACATCTTTTAATGTGCTCATGTCGCAATTTCCATAAAAATTTAAAGAAGT